CGACCGTTCGCGCCGGCGTAGTTTGGTCTCTAAAAGGATCCGAGACTAATATTGGGGATTTGAATACGAATCTTTTAGGATTTTCTCGGCGAATCTGGATCATAGATCCTTTTTTTCTTAAGTATTCGAATGCCGCTCGCGGATCCTCAAAAAGGTATCGAATCCCAGTATTCCAATCCTACGTGATTCGAATCCTCCCCAGCTCTGGTATAGGACCAGTTGCTCTGGTACGACCAGTACTCCGTTCTCTAACATCTTTGGTCTCACAGTATCTCGTCATCAATCGACAAATCACACTAGCTGATGTGTTAAGGACCTCCGGTACTGCTCTATAATTTTGGCTCCCTTTAACCATCCCTACTGCCTCTCAATTATTGTTCGTCGCGGTTTAAATGTCGTATTTCCATCATGAACAACTAAACTAAACACTAATTCGAATACAAAAAAATCTCGTTTTGTCCTTCGTAGAAACAAACACCAAAAGAAACTAAGATATTTTTATCGATAAAAGACATTTTTATGCACATTTTATCAATTGCTAAACCTTCAAAATACTGTACACTGTAAACAAAAATGTATCAAAAATGTCTACAGAAATTTTTAATATAATATCTGGTGTCTCCAAAAAGTTATAACAATTGTTCCCTAGATTTTTTTGATGTATGTAGATTGACATTAAATGGCTCTATTATCAATTTTCTAAGTTTTTAAAAGTAATGTAAAATCGTTTTTCCCGTTGTGTGATTGAAGAATAAACAGTTTAGTGAAGATTGTGAGTTTTTTCCTTGAACATCAAAATTACATCAAAAAACCAGTGCGGTATATTATTTAGAGAATAACAATCACCTTTCTCATACATCAAGCCTTCGGGCCTGCTGACGACTCGTAATGAAGACGATGCCGATTTAAGATTGACGTTCTCCTTAGTAAACAAAATCAAAGCAAGAGTGTTGAAAATCATGTTCTATCCTTGCTGTTTTTCTTTGAATATAATCCAATGGCAATGGGAACGGTTGCTTGTATTATTTTGTGAATAGTTGAGAGAGACCCATTAAAAAAGAAAGGTCTTTTCAAAAATATGGTATTTGACAAAAAAGCTTAGTAACATTTTTTCTATCTTTAAAAACAAAGATGTTAATTAAATAAAAGAAAAAACGCCAATGTCATTTCTGTCTAAATATTTTGGAAACGGGACCTGACATTTTAATTTTGGAAATGCGTATCTTTTTTCCATTAAATCAACTTTGTAAAAAATTCCCATAGTGTTTAATGACATTATTTTAACCCTGTACACAGTGAATAATGAGGTTGAGCCTCTTCTGACCTGCCGTCTTTCGTTTCTACGGTATTTTTTCATGTCATAACCAGAATATTGAGGCAAATCTGAAATACCTATATTAAGAAAATTTAAAAAATACGTCACTCTCAAATTATAAAGACTTCATATCTCAAATAATACCAACATCTGTTAGTGACACTCGACACTAAGTGTGATGTATGCGAAAAAGGCAAAAGATACACTCCAATGTATGAAATTGAATTGGCTCTTCGGACGAAACTCGCAGCTATCAATTCGTCGTAAGGTCTTTTATATATAATCAAATACTGAAATCTGTTTGGCTATATGGATTTCCACTTTGGTGGTGTGCCAAACAGACACACATTAACGTTGCCCGCATTGTCGAAATAAAAGGTCCACTGAATACAATCAGTGCTTATACCCCGAGTCTTTATGTGTGAACGATGTTGAAACAAAACTGAAAAAATTACATTGAGCTTATTTATGTGTTTAAATATTTTTTTTAACGTGAACTTGTCGCTCTAGATTGCCTAACCTCACTTCTTAAGAGGTCTTCTTTGGATGTATGTTCTTATGAACTTATTTTAATGTATGGACAACCTTTCAATACCGATTAATCAATTTTAAACGAAAATTCCTTTTTTTAGTAAGTTAGCGAGGAGTAGAAGCTGTTCGATATACTCAATGTCTAAAGTTTTGAAGAGTTCAATGCGGAGTTTTAGGGAGTTTTAAAAAGAAAATTTCGAGTAACTTTTTTCTCGGGAACTCATCTGCCTGAAGTTTAGAATTCCTTATTAACCCTAATATAAGGGTCTGAGTTTCGGTACAGGAGTTTTATTGAAAAAAAAAAGAACTTTTGACTTGTAGACAAGACAGATCAATGAATGTTTGAAACGTGAATAATTTTAAGTTAAAATGTCTCTGCCATGTTCGTGTATTTACATATTCAATTATAAAACGAAAAGATTAAATATCTAGGAACGGAAACGCCAAGAACTAGAAACTTAACAAACAAAGTTTCAACTCATTTAGTGACATCGTAGAAACGAGTTGGTAGATGACAACTAAGTTAGAGTAGGTAGATAAGATTGTTTAAGACCAATACTGAGAAAATGCGGTTGAGTTAATTAAATGTAATCCAGCATTCAGAATGTACAAAATAAATACTTGGATGGTTTAAAAATGAGTATTTCGCAGTGTCACACGTATAAAGACGAAAAACAGGAAAAAAAGCCAAAATAACGCCAACACAATTCCACATTGTACCGAAGTTAAAGACTAATAATGTAAGAGATACTGTGAAAAGAGAAATTAGAAACGTATTTTATGATATGAAAGTAAGAGAATAGTACGTAACAATTATTAAAATACTGAATGTAGACTCGCACATCAAATATATCGATTGTTAAACGGCAGAAGGCCCTAAGCCGCACTTATGCTTAAATTGAGGTATTTATACCACCCCATTTAGAAAAAAATATGGATTATTGTAAAATTGGGCCTAAGCCTCCAACATGTTTGTAAAACCTTCTATTCTCACAATTTATAGCGTAACACCAGTAACTTTTCCTAAAAGTTCGGTTTGTACACTAATTGTTAAAAAAATAAATATCAAAAAATGGCCTATTCCACACATTTTTTATGGGACCATATAAGTACAAAAGGCCCTAAGCCACAAATAATCAATATTTTACTCAATAACATTAAAATCCATTTGCAGAATAAAATCACAGTTGGCAATCCTGTTAGGTTGGCTGTCTAACTACACCGCGTTTAGAAGTTGATCATCGAGTGACGAGACCCGTTTAACTGCTGTTATTTAATTTTAAGAAAGTGCAGTTTTTTTAAGAAAAATACGTTAAAGGTAAGTAAAAGCTTGTTTAAAGAATATATTTCTTCAAAACGAAAGCTGATACTGGCAAAAGCGGTTTAAGAAATCCCTTGCAGGGGTTGCCAGAACAACTGTGCAGGAAAGTTTAACGACGAGGAGAGGCAGGAAATATTTACACAATTTTGGAAATTAGGAAATGCTCAGAGTTCATTTTTACTCTCATACATTGACTTTTCATCAAAAAAACGCACGTATATAAAAAATGAAAATAGTAGGAGGACACTAACAAAGGTATACACCATGCCAAAAGGGGAAGAAAAAGTGCAAATATGCAGACAGTTCCTTTTGGCAACTCTAAATATTAAGGAAAAACGGTTAAGAAAACTATGTCAAAATAAAAGATACTTCAGAACACCGAAAAAAGATATGCGAGGAAAAAATACTGTTCCGAGAAGTAAAACGAAAGAAGAAACGTATAACCAAGTTGTGGAGTACCGTCAAACGGGGTTAAGTGAATCACAAAAAGCTGTTTTTCTCAGAATAGTCCAAAACTACAAATATTAAAAATCTGTAAAAAAAATAACGTATGTTGTTTGGGGCTTACCTCTCCCTATTAACTAATTTTTATATTTTTAGTTTTCTTAGAAGTGCCCAATTTTTTTAGTAAAATGTGATTCACTTTACCCCTTATTTTGGGGTAAAGTGAATCATGGTTTAAATCGCAAAGAAAATCACTTTGGCAAATGTCGGGGTAAAGTGAACCACTAAAAAACACTTGGTTGGAAAAACAAATAAATAAAAGTAATACAAAGAACTAAAACGTTTATTTAAAAATAGTAAAAAAAACAGCTTTTAATCATAAAGCAAAGAAAAAATTTACGAACTAAAAATATAATATTCGTCACTTATAACGGAAATGACCGAATGGTTCACTTTACCCATTGTGATTCACTTAACCCCGTTTGACCATAAAGGAGCTTCCAGCAGTACCGTCGCATTATTCCGCAGCAACACCTCCAAAAAATATTTACCAGCTGAATTTAAGAATATTAAAAGACTTTACATGTTATATAAAGCATGGTTTGAAGAAAAAAGAGGCTCTTTTGTCAGTGAACAAATATTTAGAAAGATTTTTACTTCGCAATTTAATAAAGGATTTCACGTACTTCGCAAAGATAAATGCAGTATCTGATTGGTTACAAAAAATAAGAAGTTTTTAACGATGAAACAATAAAGTTCAACATTCATGTTGAGGAAAGTTGGCCAAGAAACAATATTTAATTGATCAGAAAAAATCAAATTCAAATATGTTTCTCTGTAGTAGCTTCGATATGCAAAAGGTTCTTCGTACTCCACATGGTGAGCTGGATATGAGAGTTTTTTTTATTATAATATGTATTCTGTATACAACGAAACAATTTATGAAGCCGGCACACGAAATGCTTATTGTTACATTTGGGGTGAGGCCGATGGTAAGCGGGGAAGTAACGAAGTAAGCTCTGTACTGTACAATTACCTTCGTCGTGTAGATTTGTCCAACAGCGTTTTAGAAATTTCTTTGTACTGCGACTCTTACACTGGGCAAAACAAAAACAGAGTGGTAATGGTTATGTTAGCATATTTTTGAATGTAAAAACAATAAAAATTACATTTTTAGTACCTGGACATACCTACATGCAAGTAGATAGTGTTCATGCTTGTATGGAAACCTACACAAAAAAATGCTAATCTGGGCTTCAAGTAAATGGCCTACTATCTTACGAAATTCAAGAGTAAATCCACACCCTTATGAGGTTATTTAAATATGGTAACTTTTACGACTTTAAGGCACTTCAAAAAAAAATTTGGCCAGAAAAAATTTAAAAAGATATGGACGGAATGCTAGTAAAATATGGGGATATTAGACAAATTATATTCTTGAAGGGCTCAAACGAGGTACAATTCAAATACTCACTTAAGGATGAAGTCAAGTTTGTAACTCTTGAAAATTTAAGACTATCAAGAAACATAGAAATAGTACCTGTATACACAAAGCGTCAAGAAATACCCCTTAAAAAATATGATAGTCTATTGGAAATGTGCGAAAAAAATATAATTGATGAAAAATACCATGAAGAATATAAATCCCTCATTGCAAAAGATACTCCTGTCACTTTACCAGAATCCGATGAAGAAGACACCATTAGCAATTATGAATAATATTCGTATTTTATTTTTGTGTTAGCTCATGTAGAAGGTACAAATATTTAAGTTTTTTTTTTAATTCCAATTTTAAATAAAAATATTGAATTCCTGTTTTTTTTTCTGTTCGCAATAAATCAAGGCCTAATAGTAAATTATTATGAGGCTTATTAAAAAGACCTATCCCACAAAAAAAAAATCTTAACAACCCAAATACATTAAAGGAAAAAAAGCCTTTTCGATTTTCAGGCATAAAATGGTATTTAAAATGATCGAAAATTTCATTTAAACAAACTATTTATATAGATGGTTAATATGTAAAAAAGCGGGACCCTTTTTTTTAAAACAAATTTAAAATCTAAATTTCCTTCCTCCTAAAAACATTTACATCTGCGGCTTAGGACCTTCTGCCGTTTAACAATCGATATAATATAAGGCAGCGCTTCTCAACCTTGCAGTATTCGGGAGCCAATTTTCAATAACAATTTTTATGGTACCCCCTACTTTTCTTATATAATAATAAAATACGACGTTAAAAATTTTGACCCTAATCCCCTTAGTACAACGTGTTGTTAGTGCCCTAGACCAGTGGTCGGCAAACTCATTAGTCAACAGAGCCAAATAGCAACAGCAGAACGCCTGAAATTTCTTTTGAGAGCCAATTTTTTTTTAAACTTAAAGTATATAGATCTACCTTGTTGTTAATTTAATTAGGGTACTGAAGTACATTTGCTGAGCCTTCCCAACTCGCTCATCCACACTCGTCTTGTAAACTTCTTTCGTCTATTCCTTACCGTTCATCCTCTTTATACATATTAGGAACAATTATACGAGCCATAGGCTATAGGCACTGTGAGTAAACATCCATCTCTATATTTTGTGTACCACGACTATATACCATCTTTCCTGTGACCTGCGTATAATTCTCTCTAATTAATTAAATCCAATTCTAGAATTAGGAAACATATGCAAGTGAAAAATAATAACTTGATTTCAAATTAAATCTTAATATTTTTGACCATTAAGTTTACCATCAATGAAAAAGGGCCAATAATGTGGTCCCTTAAAATGACAGTGCAAACATTTAATATATGAGGATACTGTATACATGTCGGAATACTTAAATGTTTATTTTTTCGAGCACAATGTCTCTGGATTGTTGATTGTGCAATGAAAAAGTTGACATGTCGGTAAATGAAATGTATTTTAAAACGTTTTTATTTTGACTCTGCCGAGGGGGGCAACCACTCCTGATATACTGGTATGTTTTCACTCGAAATCACTAAAATTTTTCTCAAAATTTACGAAATCATCATCGAAATCATAACCGAAATCAATTCGTCGCTCAAAAATGTAAATGCAGCAGCTTGGATCAAAAGATAAGGGAATAGTCCAAAAAAAGGTCATCTTATAAATTTAAGGGAGATTGTTCAGCGAAATCACCGAAATCACATAAACATTTCTTAGGTGATTTCCGAAATACAGGCCCGTTTTGACCTTAGTTTCCCCTTCAGACTCTTCGATTCATCATAATTTTGCAAAACTCTAAAAAACAAAGTAACAAAATTATGCTATACTTATTGTAACAAGTAACGATTATGTATGTTAATCTCGATGTTTATTGTACATTATATTCTTCGACTTGATTACGATGTGCTTCGACGTTTTGCGAATAATAGAGATGGGCGTACCTACACCGTATGGCTCGTATAATTTTTTCCAAAGATGTATATCTATATCCAAACCATTTAAACATACCTTTCTTAATATTTGAAACTACATCTTTCACTTAGTTAAATGGTGCGTTAAATAAAGCTTTATATCGTAACTAATAGCGATATTTTTTATTGATAAAATTAAAATGTATCATATTTAAAGGTGTTATTTTGAAATAGAAAATGTCAATATACCGAATCAAGAAATTCCGTAACGAAAATAAACCTAACACCCCCCACTCCGATCGGCACAGCGGTGCGGCGTTGAAAGCCGTGCATCGTTTAACGTCGTTTCAGTTGAATTTGAAAATGAATAATGATCCACAAGAATCCACAACAAAATATGGGACCACCATTGACGCGGTATTTTTCAGATATTTAGAGGATATCAAGTCTCAAATTCATGTTTCTTATTTCAGTTACTATAAACCTATAGTTTCAATGATAAAAATTCCTGAGTAACCTACATGTTTTGTAACATAATAAAAATATTTTAAACAATATTAACTTCTCATTTATTCAATAAAAGAAAAAAATTTGTTTTCTGATCGGTCACCACGCTCAAAAAGTGTAATAAAAAAAAAACTTGAATTAATATCAAAGACAAAAAAATACTGCATAAATAAAATAAATAAATAAATAATTATAATTGCATAAGTTGATAAAAAATGCTATGCAATAGCTTTACCGCGGCAGTCCCCGAGTGCCACACGTATTTTTTACTAAAATTTTAGTCTTTTCTGCGAGGATACGCGCTCAGGAGTAATATATTGTACGATACACGTTGATATTTTATCTTTCTGGATATGTGTTTTTAATAAGTATGAAAAAATAGAAATAAGAAAAGCAGCCATCATGGAGTTGCAATCATACTGTACGTGCGAGCCCGAATGTTGTAGTTTGAGGAAGAGCCACACTCAAGAGACCAGAGTCGCATGCGGCTCGCGAGCCGCGGTTTGCCAACTCCTGCCCTAGACGAATCTAGGCATAAAGCCCTAATATAGAACTAACTTAATTGCAGACCTTCAAAATTACCGAGCATAAGTGAATTTATTGAAACTTGGCAATGCCACTCTGCTTCATCCCATATAGGTAAAGCGTAAAGCCAGAATCGATGTTTCTCATCTGATCTCTGTCATTTACGACGGAAATCGAACATTCTAGAGGCTTAACTACGAGAAGTTTCGACCTCTGTTTTCGATTTGTTTGGAATAGTATGGAAGATCTGCTCGACAGCGGAGGAAGCGTGTATAAATGCTGCGACTGTTAGAGGTTCCGGTCAGTTTTAGTCGAGTCGCGGTGCCAAATTTTGTAAGTTTTGTGTAACTGTACCGTATTTCCGTATAAGATATTTACGTAAATTTTACAGCAGTAAATTTATACAGAAGCAGTGGCGGCTCGTACCTTAGCACATAGGTGAAGGCACGGATTAACATTTTCGGGTGCCTAGCCCAGATTTTGATTCGAAGTCGTTGAAAAGCATATCTTGAGTAATATTTTAAAGTATATTAACGTGCACATTTATCATTTTTACAAAATAATAACTAACATAAAAAACTTACCAGAATTTAGCTTTGAATAGTATTTATTGCACTCCAAACCTATACAGTAAAATAAAAAATATTTTACATTGGACGATATTTGAAGTCTAGTCTTCGTTCTGTTTTATTAGCAAAAAGGTCAATGACTCGTCTATTAAAGTCTTCAATGTTATTAGAAACACTTTTTCAGCTGATAACATTCCTAGTGCACTTAGTCTTTCTTCTTTGATTGAAAGCGTAAAACAGTTTTTATCCTCTTTAACATAGAGAAACATCTTTCAGCTTCGGATACTGACATAGGTGTTATCACTAACACTTCCAGTATTTTAACAGTTTCTTGAAAAGTATACTTCAATCTTCCTGCGAAACTAATGATAATAGAGGAATGGCTCCAGAAATGGTTTGCAACTCTTCCCTTTCGTAAAGTACTTGCAGTTCTGTTTTTAGACGATTTGTTTCTAGAAATTGATATGCGTTAACTGTATCAGAGAGCAATTGATGAGGAAAGTTTTTTTGGTATTCGATAAAATGTTCTTTCATGAATAATGCGGTAGCTATCAGATGTCCTGTGAAAGTAAATCGTGCCCTAATCTGTTGTATAATGGAATCGCAAACTTCCAAGGCTTCTATTTTTCTATTGAAACAGATAGATCGGAACGAGTGTAACGTCGCCTTTTCTGAGGAACAAGTTCATCTTCGGTTTCTAAAAGCTCCGAGTCTATTTTGTCAATAATTTTATCCATTTCATTACGAATTTATTGCATTGAATTTTTAAAGTTTAGCCTTGATAGGGTCGGTATTATTCGTCTGCAGTTGCTTAAAAATTATTTCAACATGTGGCATGACTTTATGAAAAACTGTTAATCAAAATATGAAATCTCTGTCCTGTAATCTAAGAGTATAAGCACCGGCTTGCTCAATCGTAGAATTTAATTTAATATCTTTGTCGTTCTCTAAAAATATCCATAACGTGTATCAGTTCATTTCTGTATTCATAAACTGTAGTAACTCCCCGTGATTGGAAATTCCATCTCGTTTGTGATGAGCGTGTTAATCGTCTATGAACTATATCATCCAATACTTTTGTTCTTTGAGATGATGTAGAAAAAAAAAGCACAAATTCCAGTTAAATGAGCGAAAAAAATCCGAACAGACATTAATTGAACCTGCACTGCTCATTATAAGGTTAATCTGATGTGCATAGCAATGAACATAATTTGCTAAAGGTGCGTTGACACCGTGCTAGTGGACTCGGCCGAGACCGCTCGATGCGAGCGAATTCGCACACGAGTTCTGTTGACACACACAATTTTACCAGCTTGGTTTTAGTAAAATGCAAAATGGCGGAAATTGTGCGTGCTGGTATGGATATTGTTGCACAGATACTAATCAACGAATTAAACCAATTGCAAGTTATAAAAAAGCGACGTTCCAGACGAATGTGGATTCGGGAGTGGATAAAGCGGCGTAACAAGTTTGGTGCTTCTAAAAAAAGTGGCTTTAGAGGATCCAGAGATATTCAGAAATCACCTAAGGTTAACGATAAATCAGTTTAAAGAACTATTGTCAATGGTGGAAAACTCCATTAAAAAGCAAGATACGTTAATGAGAGCTGCTTTGGAGCCCAGAAAAAAATTGCAAATTACACTGCATTACTTGGCTGTGTCTCTTGCTTCTTTATTTTTGTAGAGAGCATGTCGAAAATTGCATAGACATTCTGTTTCTTCATATAATTCCACAAATTTTATAGTTTGCGATTCTG